GGCGAAGCACGAGCATCTTCCCCGCACAAGGGTCCACGCAAAGCTGGGCCCTGCAAACTGGAGTGCGGAGCTCGGACGTAGGGGCTGGGAGCTGAAATCCGAAGGCGAGAAGAACAAGGACCCTTGGACGCTTCTTCATCGACTCCACGGCTAAGCAAACGCGCTTTCTCGGAACTGCCTGTCACTAGCAGCAGCCCATCCACAGCTTGTTCAAACGAAGCCTGAAGGCCCAACGAAAGCCATGAAGAAGATTTCTGGTCGGGCCTGAAGTGAACGGTCCGCCCAGGGCAGAAGGCTTGGCGGTGCTGCGGCCACAGGCGGAAGGCCCAACGCGCAACGGCGGAGGAGGAGCAGAGCCACGGAGAAGAGGAAGCTGGCGAAGGGATGTGAAGGGACTCAGGCAAGGGCCTCTTGTCTGGCACGAAGTCCGTGTAGCTAACCCTGTGTTCCTCTTCCAATGACAGGTAGCTTTTTTCCAGGACAGCAAACGAACACGCACAGCCGGCCATGAAAACATGTGAAACCCACTGTCACCCAACTCTCCCCTGCCCGGGGCGTGCCAACCCGTGCAGGCTGCTGCACGCACGGGTCGTGCGGAGCACGCCGCAGGCGCCCCCATGGCTTTCGCATTGCGGCTGGCTATCTGACGACCTGCCAGTCACCGCCGCTCTACTGTGTACAGGCTCTGCAAAACATAGGCAGCCTAGTGCCACCTGCGAGAGTGCTTCATGGTCTGGCATGCTGTGCAGAACTGCGTCGTGCAAAGCTCTAGGATGCTACAAATGAGGGTAGCAAAGATACCTACAGCCTCTTGCTTGCACTTATGGCTGCGGCTGACATGTGCATACTCTTGTACGTTGGTGTACGCACATACACGCACACACACACATATATATATATATATGTGTACATACATACATACATACATACATACATACATACATACGTACGTACATACGTACATACGTACATACGTACATACCTACATACGTACATACGTACATACGTACATACGTACATACGTACATACGTATCTGTGTGTGTATGTATGCAACAGGTAGGTAGGTAGATAGGTAAGTAAGTAGGTAGGTAAGTAGGTAGGTATAGAGGCAGGTAGGTAGGTATAGAGGCAGGTGGTAGGTAGGTAGGTAGGTAGGTAGGTAGGTAGGTAGGTAGGTAGGTAGGTAGGTAGGTAGGTAGGTAGGTAGGTAGGTCGGTAGGTAGGTGGGTGGGTGGGTGGGTAGGTAGGTAGGTCGGTAGGTAGGTGGTAGGTAGGTAGGTAGGTAGGCGGGTAGGCAGGTAGGCTGGTAGGTAATTAGTAAAAGTAGGTAGGCAAGCATGCAGGTATGTAGGTGGGGAGCGCGGCAAGGTGGGCCGTAGGTTAGGGGGCAAGAGGGGGGCAGGCAGGCAGGCAGGCAGGCAGGTACGCAGGCAGAAAGGGGGGCTAGGCGGTAAGTTTGGTATGTCTGTAAATTGCATGTCTATGTGTTGTGCCTATGTACGCATGTACGTATCTATGTGTGCATGCATGCATTTGCATTTGCACGCACACCTTAGGTATGTACACATACATACACACACACACATACATACATACATACCTACCTACATACATACGTACATACATACGTACATACGACAAGACCCACAAGACATAACCTGCAACAACTCGATATAGTATATACGACCTGTGGCGACGAACACACGCACACACACACACACAAGTTATGATGTGATTGCACATGTGTGCAGATGCATACAACACTAGCCAACAAACTAACAAGCAAACAAGCCAACACACACACACACACGCACGCACGCGCACACACACACATACACACACACACACCCACACACTGCACACACACACACGCACATATCCATATATATATATGTATATACATACATACATACATACATACTTACATAGATGTATGTATGTATGTATGTATGTGTGTATGTATGTATGTATGTATGTATGTATGTATGTATATGCATATACAAATATATACACACGCACATACACCAAAAAATACGTAAACGCACACAAACACATACCTACCTCTATGCATAGATACATGCAGCATGCACACGCCCCTTCTTTCGTACATACATGCATGCACGTACTAACAACACAAGCAGCACACAGATACATGCATACCTACATGCATGCCTACATAAATACACGCATGCAT